TTGCAGGCGGCTTTGGGTCGCGGCGTTTTGTGAAGCGAAGTTGGGTACTTTCCTCACTCAACACAGTCTAGTTTCTGCTTCCTTGCGAGCATATGGGGTTCGCAGTAGTTTGGTCGAACTTGGAGTGGTCATTTTCTTTATCTTTTGTATAAGTACGTACATTTTCTGCCGAGGGAGTATCGCTGGGTCAGGGGAACATGGGAATAGACCGTATTGAATCTTGTGACAATCCTTTCTCATTTGAAGTAATTGGAGTAGACGAAAGTGACAAGCGATGATTGTCGCGATGCGAGACGCTAGTTGGGTGATGGTATCGTGTCAAGGTGTTCGCAGCTGCCAGGTGGACCCTGATCCCGAGGTTGTGTTCGATGCCGTCATCAACGCTTGAGCTAAGCTCCGATGTCTCTTCATCACACCACGCACCAATCCCCACAACCACACACCGTCACGACGCAATTGCCCATACAACATCATGGTGCTTCAGGACGTCGACAACACAGCTCCGGAAGGCTTCTCAGATAACCCATACCCCTCCTCGGACGATCCATATGCTTCCGCGTCGCCGCCCTCCTCAGGTGCTCGCTTCGACGCGAGCGTCCTGCCCCAGCCATTGCCGATCATAGGCACCTTCATGGGCTTCTCCGACCGTGCCGTTCGCTTCAAAACCGAAACTACCCTCAAATTCGCCGAGCGCAAAGTCGGCCGCCAACTGAATCCAGAAGAAGCGCAGGCGCTCGCATTCCACATATACCAGCTTGAGCAGACAAAGAGCTATTTCGCCTTCACAGGTGCAGCTGCAGGAACCTACCAATGGTACAGAACTATGGACAAGATGAAGTATCCCTTCTACCAGCCCAAGGTCGAGGACATTGACCGGAACAAGTTTGGTCCGATCAAGGGCAACATGGCGCAGTTCGCACGACACACATGGCGGTTTACTCTGTACGCTCTGGTGGCAGGACAGATGGGCAACATCATCGGCCAACTACTCGCGCAACCGCTCGCTGCGGTCAACACTTCGAATGATCCCAAGCTGGAGCAGTTTGGACAGGAGCTGAAAGCTTCATCGCACGCCGAAGGACAAAGGACCGCACAACAAGGACGTGAGATTGAGGATAGGCGACGACAGTTCCAGGAGCAGGTCAGGAACAAGGCAGGAGGTGGCCCGTCACCACAGGCTAGCTGGGGTAAGCAGCCTCAAGGGAACGCTGATGGAGGCGACGACATGAGCCCGACCGCTGGGAACGAATCGTGGGGTACCAGAACCGCGGGATCAGACACATGGGAGACGTTTTCAAACGACACATCACAACCAGCTCCACAACGCCAGCAAGCACCGCCCTCATCCCTTCCATTCGATGACGACGCCTCCCCCACTGGCGGCCTCTTCCAAGACGAAGTCAACAACCCACAACAACCCCAATCCCAATCCCAAGCAAGACCTGGGGAATCGTCATGGGATCGTCTAAGGCGCACCGGGGGAGCAGCAGCAGCGCCACTTCAAAGGCCACAGCAGCAACAATCGCGCAGAGCGGAACCGGAGCGCAGAGAGCAAAGGGAGGGGTCTACGCTGGGAGATTCGTATACGTTTGTTGCGGGTGATGAGGAGAGGGCCAGAGAGAGACAGCGCGCGCAACAAGAGTTCGACGCTAGGTTAGAGCAGGAGCGCCAGGGACGTGATTTCAGTGATGAGGGAGGTAAGAAGTGGTAGAGGCGGTGATTGGAAGGTATACCAATGAAGCTTGATTGATTTGTCGTATCCATGTGCGTTTCCCCGATTCATCTGATTCACGGACTCCTGACTTCTCACAGTGTGGTCACATGCGCGCTTTCACTTCCTCGTCTGCGGAGTGGAAACTCTTAGGCTTCTCTTGCTCGCTCCTATATAATCGCCCACTCACCGCGTTCACTTTTTCGAACATCACTTAAATAACCTGCTCTCTCACTTCTCAACCTTTTCACAGCCACCCAGCAACCAGCCGCCGACAATGAACGACGACGACTACGAAGCGAACGATAACTTTTGGAGTGATTTCTGGCCGAACGATTGCAGCCCCGAGGCCTTACACCTAGCTTTGGCCATGAAGGAGTCTGGCGCCGACATTCGCCCAACACAGAATGGCTTCGAGGTCAACGAGCAAGCAGGCCGCCCACATCCCATCATAGGTGAATCCCCGAAATGCTGTCCAGATTCTAAGCACTGGACCATGGACGACGGTGATTGGGTCTGCGTTGGGTGTGGTGCGGTGTACGCGCAGAACTTTGCTTACGCACCCGCGCAATCATCTCTGGCACCACTCCTTCCTCCTACTGACCTGGTGGTCAATGGAAATCTCGTTCTACCGCCCATGTCTTGCTGCATGAAGCCTGTCCCTCGTGAGGAGGATGGAGACGAGCGGACTCTGTGCGACCGCTGTGGCCAGGAATACTTCGATTATAAATATGATGAGGACTTTCAGAAAGCGATCGAAGCAGGCTCGGGATTTGGTACTGGTGGGCCGACGTCTGGTGAGTCAGGGCAATCGAATGGTCGGCAAGCGGGTCCTGACTGGAGGAACCAAGGTAAGAGGACCCCATTGATTTTCTGGTGAGGATCAACAGCTAATTTGTGCAGCCGATCTATACATGTACAGTCATCGTGGACCACCATATTCGAATCACGCTCCTCTTTCGTCGGGATCGGTTACTGGCTTGAGTGACTTCCAGGCATCCACCGCCTATACACGTCGTCGTCTACGCGCACCGCGTTCTGAAGGCGATATTCGAGCATTGGGAGACGAAGACGACAGCAATCTTGCGGCTTCTCTCCGTGTATCTTCCTTCGTATCTTCCTTCAACCAAATCCTTCCGCCAGCTCCACCAATCAATGATCCCACTCCAGGACCATCAAAGCCCAAGGCAAAACGCGCGATAAAACCACCTACTATCACCTCCAACGTTCCGGTGCGGCCTCGTCTGCCTAGATATCGCACGCCCACTCACTGCCTCACTTGCATGGCAGAAAAGGGTATCCGCAACATGGACTGCAAACTCTGTCACCAGTGTCACTCCGAACGTCATACCACCGGCAGGTGCGGGATGTTAAAGCCAAAGTTCCACAAGTTCATGGACCTTTCTGTGGAGCTACGTCAGCGCATCTATGCGCTCGCGCTCGATACAGACCGGCCCATCAGGCCTCATCTGTGCGATTATACCGACGACCAAGTCATTCAGTTCCACGACGACAACGCAGAACACCACTTCGCTACCAGCGATCTTCTCGGTATCACCCGTGTCAGCAAGCAAGTCCGTGAGGAGTCACTTCCCATGTTCTACTCCACGAACACCTTCTCCATCGGTTACGATACATCAACGTATTTCGACCGCCTCGTGTACCTGGGCCGTTTCCACATGGTCCGCCACGTCCGGTTCCAGATCGACAACCGCAAGGAGTCCATGTCGCCCAGCATCCTGCGCCGCATGAATCAGTACATCAAGGAAGCAGACGTCTACGAGAAGCAGCTGACCGGTCCCGTTGGCCAGCATATGTCGTCGCTGAAGAAACACCCCCAGTACCTCTACGGCGGCTGCCCCGAACTCAACACCCTCATCACACTCATGAAACTCACTTCCCGCCTCGACAACCAGACCAAAGACCAGTACGAAGGCAAAGGTAAAGACAAAGCCACCGAAATCACCGCCACCCCACTCTTCCACTCCAAACTCGTCGTCCCCGTCTCCTCCGTCCCAAACTTCATCGCCTACAACGCCTACAAATGGTTCCCAACCGTCATGTACGGCCTCGGCATCCAACTGCACTACGTCGACAACACGCCTTTTGCCTTTGTCGACGGCGGCACCGTCGGCATTACGTGGGAACAGCGCTTGCAGAAGAAGGACTTTGGCGATATCCCTGATTACGTTGATCCGGTTGATAGTAGCGGGCAGACGGCGGCGTATAAGATGGCGCTTAGACTGGATCCGGAGTTGGAACAGAGGCAGAGGCCTAAGGCTTGGGCTTATTTGAGGGAAACTTGTACGGGTGGGAATTACGCGTGGTTTGATTTGCCGACTGAGGGGGGTGGGGTTGGGTATTAGGTGGTGGATGGAATGAGAGGGTGATGGATTTCGATGATGACGAGATGGATAGATAAAACATGAGAGAATTCAGTGCCATTGCATTCAATCACAGTACTCCATGAAAAGTGTTTCTAGAAAGGCAGAGTTGGTTGTGGGGAGCAGTCCCATGTACTAAGACACGTGAGGCTAGGGCACCTGCAGGCTGACTATAAGCAGGCAGGTACGTCCCACCCATCACACCTGACATCTCACATCACATTTCATCATTGCCATCCTACTCTGATTATTTTATATACACTGGTTATGTCACTCTGCACTACTTGTAGCTCTATACCTTTTCGCGCGCTCGCCCGCGGCGACCAACCTCCAGGCTGGAAAAAGAGCTCTTGGACCGACGACAATGGCATACCCTGGGGTCACAACAGCGAGACGTGGAAGTGCGACAGACGCCAAACCACCTTACCGCTATTGAGGAAAAGCGCACTCCACTGCATAATATGCAGCATGCTCATGCACGATCTGGAAACACGGCCGATTTACAAACGAGTCGCACAGGAACTGGATATAGAAGTCACTCCAGCATGGCTGCATATTTCCGAATCTGAAACATACGGCACAAAGTTGGATCTCTTTCTAGACAAGGGCATAAATGAAGCTACTGCTGTGGAGTTTCGAAATAGATTTGGTATGTTTGAGTCGCAGATTTTGCTTAGTCCGGTAGACGAAGGCTTATGGACACAGACACTCCAGCTCCGAATCTCTTCAAGCCGGTGAAGTTGGAGAATACGCTTGATCCCACCCCTTTGAAGCAATCCAGGGCTTGGTTTGACGAATGTAATACCCGACATGAGAGATGTTCTGCGATCCAGCAAGACTCGCTGTTGCCTACAAGAGTGCTGGATCTCGATGACATGCCCAGTTCCAACGCTCTAGCCGAAAATATGAAGCAGTGGCCAGAACTGTTTTCTCAAACCGAATGTAAGCTAGTCGAGACTACTGCTGGCCAGAAAGGAAAGTATGCAACGCTGAGCTATTGTTGGGGAAATGGGTTGCCGTTCACGACTACCACAGAGACGCTTTCAATGCGAAAGAGCAGCATCGACTTTCAAGATCTTCCTAAGACGCTTCAAGATGCTGCTATGGTGGTTCGATCTCTCGACCTACGGTACGTATGGATTGACTGCTTGGCAATTGGTATGAACCAACTCCTATGTACACAGTACTTATACTAACGCTTGTACTCTTACTATTAGTACAAGATGACACAGCAGACTGGGAAAAAGAATCGGCTGTTATGGCCGACATCTACTCCAGATCATACATCAACATCGCTGCATCCAACGCTTCACATTGCGGAGCAGGCTTCCTAGGAATACGAAAAATGCCAATGACTGAACGTATCGAGATTCACGACAGCGAAGGGAAGCTAGAGGTATATCTCGTCGCCCAACAGACCCGTAACTACGTAGGCTCCACCCCCCAAGATGCCGTCGTCTCCTTGCTAACAAAAACCAGGCACTACCAAGCGATCCCCTCGAAACACGAGCCTGGGTCCTCCAAGAACAACTCTTGCCATCCCGCTCCCTTCATTTCGGCAGCGCCAACATGTTCTGGCGCTGTCCCGACGGCATCTCGCACGAGGAGCGTAGAAAAGGCTGGACTCACCTCTACACCCTCGACGCCGTCGTACCCAGCATACGCCTACCCATCGGAGCTGCCCTTGGCAAAGATGCGTGGTTCCAACTGGTTCTTGACTATACCTCCCGCGGTATTACATACCCGAAAGACAAATTCCCGGCCATCTCAGGCGTCATGACCGTCTTACAGCGCATGACTGGCGACATCCCCGCCGCAGGACTCTGGCGGCGGAACTTCCTCAAGTGGCTCCTGTGGGTCCCTAGACATGACGTCGCGCCTTTCAAACGGTCTGAAGTTTGGACGGCACCGTCTTGGTCGTTCATGTCCGGGGAAGGACCCGTGGATTACGGGTTAGGTGATCTTACTATGGGTATGAATACCTCTATACGAACCTTCTGTGCCAACTTCAAAGAATGCACCGTCACTCCCAAAGGGCTGAATCCGCTTGGTGAGTTGAGAGATGGGTGGGCGCGGATCAGTGGGCCAGTGAACGACGTTACTTCTATCGGGAAACATGCAGCGACAGGGAAAAGTCCGTATCGGTTATGTAGGGTGCAGATGCGCGATCGGAGCTACCATGATGCGCGCATTCTCTTTGACGTTGAGACATATGAGGCTTGTAAGGCTTTGATCGTTGCGCCGGCTTTGGGTGTGGCAATCATTGGTACGGATATAGAGCGGGGCGAGTATTTGAGGGTCGGACTGGTGGTAATCAAGAGAGTAAGACTTGAGGTGACGACGGAAGTAAGTACAAAGGCGGTCAAAAATAACAGTGATGGGATCCCTAACATCATGGTAGCAGTCGAAAGAGTGGTACCCGGAAGCAGAGGATTATTCGGAGCCACGGTCGATTGTTCTCCGATAAGGCGGCGGACTTGCACGCCAGATTTGAGGCGTGTGGAGCATGTTGATTATCGGTGTAGAAGCCGAGCCGCCAGTTAAGTAAAAGTTGAACCAATTCTCATGACATTAATCGAGTGTGAGTGAGTCTGACTTGGGGGGCTCGCGTAGCCTCAGGTTCTCGACCATGGTTCGCTACCGCACATATCCATAGTCCAACCGACCAGAAAAGTAAGCGAATTATTTGAGTAACACAGAAGTAAAGCTGCGCATATATAAGGCGTGCCCTCAAGCATTAGAAGTTATATTTCAACCCCAAAGCAAAAGATCTAAAAGTTTCCCGTAAACACAACATAAACAAGCCATACCCAAAGATGCCTTCCGACAACGAACGACCAACTGATAAGATGACGACACTTCAAGCTCAATTCACGGCCAAGTCATACCATAAGCAGCTTTATGAACACTACAAGAGAGCGGCGACTGCCCCAGGTATGATAGGCCAGGTCATCAAATCTGAGCCACCTCCGCACCATCAGCAGAGCTACATACGCCATCGGTCTGGATGCGTATGTACCTTTCCTTCCGCACCCAAACAAGAAGACAAAAGCCTCGAAGATGAACACGAGACTGCAGAACAATTCGCTCGCAACTGGAACCCAACAAGATTTCCCAAAGTGAAAGAATGGACAAATGACGATTTCCGCTCAGCGATAGAGCACTGGACATTTGATCGCAATGAGAGAAACACACCCGAGGCTATAAACGAAGCAGAAGCGGCACTCTACGATCTGGACAGCGGTTCTTGGGCTGGTACGCAAGACTGGGTCCGAGAACAACACATCTGCGAGACGGTATATGTATGTCTCTTGAAGGTATTGAGACGATATGGGTACTGGAGGCATTCAACCACCCTTCGGTCCAAATCTTGGGACGGCCAAAGGATGACGATATATCGCACGCAGGGGGCGGAGGAGCTTCCAACATGGCTTCAGTGCCATGACTATGAGATTGAAGACGATGAGATTGTGCCGGATGAGGATGAGGAGGACGCGCAGAAGCTAGACGCCATGGTAACGGAGTGGCTTCCACACTTGGAGGTTACCGAGTAGACTTCTCAGGACGACGGAGACGCTGGAATGTTGTTTGTTTTAAAGTTGGAAACCCGCGGTGCGTTACCGTACGAGCGAAGATACAGTGTGTTAGTGATTAGGTAGATGAGACAATTGAACAACCTCTCGCTAGGGATAGCTAGAGTCTCGATCGCGTTTGCTGCATACATACTATCAAAAGTTGACTACTTCGTAGATTCTGAGATCATGTATACGTCTAGCCAGATATCATTCCTGATAATACCTAAAGTCTTTGTAGAATACAACGAGAAATGTGAGCCATCCTGGTACCCTGACATCCATGACTTTGTTGGTACGATCGGCGCGTTCAAGAAATCTGGACAAGATTTGTATGCCGCAACCGCAGGACATGCCATCAACGACGGGCCTGGAGAGAACTTCCAGATCATGCACAGAAGAGACAATAAGATCGTCTACGCCACACAGCTGTCATGTATGTATCCGGTCGATAAGAACGAGATCGCAAAAGGATGCGGTCTCCTCAAAGTGAACATAGAGGACGAGAAGAAGATAGATGCAATCATACCGCGGCTGGACCTGCACAACCACACTACGGCTCCAAGTCAGGATGTCGACCTAGGGTTCGATCTGGACATTACAGGAAACAATGTCAATCATGGCGTGGCGTTATGGCCTTTTATCGGCAAAGGAAACGGCATCCGGATGTACAAGGACGGAGGCACCACAGACCTGACAGTCGTCCACTTCATTCGCGACAAGCGAGTAGAAGACATAAGAAGACTAAACATATGCCTCTCCCTCACATCCAAAGCCCATATACCGCAAACGGAACAAGACCCGAGTAACACGTTACACGAACCCCATCTTCGAAACGAGATATCATGTAACACCGCACCAGCATCCATTCCTTCTAGATTGCACCACGCCTTATTTTCAATACACATGCCACAATCTTTCTCTCTCTACTGTGAACATGTGGCGTACATCCCCCACCTGAGGCACGGCATAAACTCACCACCAACTTCGCACTTCGCATTCGAGAAAGACGCCAGCTTGTTCGTCTGAACGTGACTAATGCACGAAACATACGCCCCTGGGCCCAACACTCCGGCCAGCTAGGAATATGTACGTATATGCAAAACCCACGCTGCAGGTTCTCATGGCGTGACGAACCACGTCGAATCGAATCACCTGCCTCGCCGTCTCTTCAGCCCCAAGAGCCAAGGGCCGGGGCCAGGGCAATGGTACATACATGTACGTAGGAACCTCGCCGTCCACACCATCCATCTACCCGCAACGCACCTCCGACCAATCGCGCCAACTCCCGCTCTCGTATCCAAAATGCAGGTGCAATGGGCGAACGAAGACCGTGTATGCGGCCAGCAAAGTAGCCAAGTGTCAAGCCCCCAACTCACGCGGACGGACTTGATCGTGTAGGCAGGCTGAGAAGCAGATGCGCGATCGAGATCTCAGGCGAGGGAGCGCCACAATGCATAGCACAGCAGGTTTTGAGGTTCGCGAAGAAAAGAAGGCAGATGGAATCTAGACGCGAGGACACGAGTTGGTGGGAGGTGTGGTGGGTGAATGAGGCGCTGGGGGTATATGTCAGGTGTATCAATACCATGGCGACTTATCACCTTCATGTTATGCTGTGTTATGTCATGGGCCAGGTCCACGCCCACGCCCACACTGTGCATTTCGCGTTCGTTGGATTATACAACGACGTAGGCGTGGGGCGGGTGCATGGCGAAATCTCCTCATGCTACCTTGCTTCCTTTCTTCCTTGAGACGAGACGAGACGAAACGGAGAAGTTCCATCACGCCACGCCACGCAACACAGCTCGTGGCCTGGAAGCAGGTTGGTGAGGACGGCTAAAGTGATGGACGGCGACGTTATTCGTTGAAAGATCCCGGTCGGCGGCCCGGCGTCGTAACGTTGACCGGTAGATCTTGTGGCACAGCTTCCCATTCACGCATATGCATCTCGGCTGCATCATTGATTCGCTGCCGGTCGCACACGTCGCAGATACAATTGGAAGGGCAGAATCGGGCGTCAGGCCATGAGGGGTATATTATGCGGTCGCTAAAGGGTATACAGATTGTTGGATATTGGATATGTGTGAATGTGCGGCAAATGCCGTCGACGCGCACCAACCTTCTAGAAATGCAATGATGGAGCGTGGAACGAGGGGTTACGAATGCATCACGCTCCGAAACCTAGGCCATGAACAGTCTCGTCGTCTCCAAGTGCAAGCCGCACTTCGTCTTCACCAACGCCAAGCCGGACACGGCCTACTCGCTCGCCATGTCGGGCCTCTACGCCTATGATGCCTGCTTCTGCGAGCTCGGTGGCTGCGAGTGCGAGACCGAGTGCTCTTGCTGCCTTGTTGTTCGTTTCCTTCGAGCCAAGATTAGTAGCAACGTCTCTATGCTTCGACGGCGTAGAAGGCTGCATTACTGCGCCGTTCATCATTTCGCTTCTGTCGTCCTTCTCAGGGGCGAGAATGTAATCGTGCACAGGCAGTAACTGACTCATGAGCCCCAACCGTTTGGCTTCATCGACAACGTCTCCAAGGATCGCTTCGCCAATGCCCGACCTGCGGATCCTTGCCAAGAGGGCCGCAAGGAACACCTTGGACGCCAACGGTAGAGCCCGCAGCGCCTGTTGCAGGGGGCTACTCGTAGCCTCGTTGATTGCCTGCTTGATCGTCGCCATAGTAACTATACCTTTCCGCCCCGCCCGATCTTTGGACCGATGATCCGGATCTCCGGTACCTTTATTTGACCGAGAGTCTTGGAGCTGCTTTGCTTTGTCACCCCGACCGGTCCTACTCGGGGTACCTGGCTGCGCCTCATCGTCCCGGTCCTGCGATATCGTTTCCGCTTCGGCGATTTCCACGGCTCGTCTGCAGATGTCTAACGCGCGTCGCGCATCACCGCTAACAGCTGCTACCTTGCGTGCAGCAAACTGAACGGCGTCAGGGTGCACAATATTGCCAGGTACACCTTCGAGCCGGGACTGGATAATTTGCATCAGTTGGTCATGTGTATAGCCTGGGAAAGTGATGCGCGTCAAGCCTAGAAGATGCGTGTTAGCCTCTCGCCAGGAAAATAACGGACGTACCCGGCGATATAAGTCGCACCGATAACATCAAATTGATACGCAGATCGTTGGGAGACCTCGTCGTCTCCCTCTGATATTGTAGCATATTGAGGAGGGATCGAAACGCCAAACGCGTGGGGCGCGTTCCTGAAGGATCGCTATGCTAGCTGGGACATACCTAGGCGACTGCTGATCTTATTGCTCAACGTTCTCTCTGGCAGATCCATAGTGTTCGCTACGGCGAGGACAATTAACCTGCTGTGCCGCAGGCCAGGCCAGTTGAAGAAGTTGTACATGACAGACTGGTTTTTCGTGACGAGCTGGTCAAGCTCGTCCATGAGGACCACGCAGGGAACCCTGCGCGGGCTGGGAGTGGAGAACTCGCGTTCCAGTAGCTCCAGTGCATGTGACGGACTCACTCGGTCGCCGCGCAGTGCCTGCCAGAGCAGCGAGTATGATTGGTGGGGATCAGTGACCTTCATGCCATTGATCTCAACAAATATGAAATCGTCCAACTCTTCGGCTTGAACTGAGGCTTGCAGTTGGGCGACGACCTCTCGCACAGTTGCCGTTTTGCCTGTGCCAGGTGTGCCCGAGATGTAGATGCATGAGCCCGAGCCGTCCGTAATGGCCGCGTCCAAATGACTATAGACGGTGGAGAACTCTTCCTCACGACAAGGGAGTGCGGCAGGTA